ATGCAGCGGATACAGAGTGAAAAGAGCATCCTGGATGAACCAGACTCTCCGTTAGAGGTTAGTTTGAGTAACACGTTTTGTTTTTGTTACTTTCTGTGTATTCATTTATTTAAATGTTTATTTTATCAGGATTCTATTTTCAGCACCTTCAGCACCACAGGGCATGGTCACGTTTTTTGACTTCTCTGAAAATCATTGTTCTCAAAGCTCTTTTGAGATGCTTTTAAAACATATTCTTCGGATCAGACAATATAGATTTGCTCGAGTCCTCGTTTATTTGTTTTTTGAAAGTGTCTCTGTGTGTTTAAATACCTTTATATTTCTTTATCATTCGTTCGGTCCTAATACTATGGAGGCATGGAACTGAACAGCTGCATCTCTCTCTCTCTCTCTCTCTCTCTCTCTCTCTCTCTCTGTGTGTGTGTGCGTGTGTGTGTGTGCGTCTCTCTTTCAAGCACTTGCTTCTGTGTATTGTTTCTTTCTTCCCTAAGTTTCAGACTACTTGTGTAGCATTTGTATTAACACATTTTCATAGCACCCTAATGGGTGTATGATGTCGTGATTTTACAGATTCACGATGAAAAGCATAATAAAATTTAAATTAGCCACTTTGTACAGTGTTTTTGATAATTCAGTACCATGGGCAGCACAGATCACCATCATTAGCAGAGATGGGCGAATTACTGTAATCCGATTACTTTTTTCAAGTAACGCGTAAAGTAAGGGATTACTATCCCCGGCATCTCTGTCCTGGTCGTTGTGTCCTTGGGCAAGACACTTTACCCTACTGCCTACTGGTGTTGGCCAGAGGGGCGCGATATGGCAGCCTCGCTTCTGTCAGTCTGCCCCAGGGCAGCTGTGGATACAACCGTAGCTTGCCTCCACCAGTGTGTGAATGCGAGAGTGAATGAATAGTGGCATTGTAAAGCGCTTTGGGTGCCTTGAAAAGCGCTATATAAATCCAATCCATTATTAATAAACCGTGATTTTGTTTGCTAGAGTGTCTCATGACAATGACGTAAGCGCGTGCCGTGGTAACAGACGTGCTCAGATCAACAATGGATAATATATGGAGTGCGGGAGAGAGAGAGTATGACCGTGCAGCGTTTAAACCGTGGAAGTACTGACCTTACTTTTAGTTTGATTCTGTAAAAGGTGACAAAAACATTAGCGTCCGCTGTACATTGCGTAGGAAAAAAACCCTAAACCTATGAGCAAGTACCTATCACGCTGTCACGGTTATGTGAAATTCACAGAGAAACCCCCCGATGCCGGACACTAACTTGACCGCTGCGGCACACCTGCACCAGGGCAAACCTCCACCCACGCCACTCCTGCTAAACAGGTGAAAATAGATTTAAGAGCGACAGGACTCAGTGCCGCTGAGTCTTTGGTTTTATTTATTTTGTGCTGTGTTTTACTGGCATCAATTTGAAAGAATGAGAGTAAACACAAAAGATATTTTATTTTATATGCTGGAATATGTAGGAAATAGGCTTAAATGTTGAAAAAAAATTAAAACTAATAAAAGAAGTTTTAAAAAGAGACTTTTCGTTTGATTACATTTTATATGATGGATTGTGCAGAAAAAGTAGAATTGGGCTGAAAGATCTATTGCTTTATTACCTATTCAGGTTGTGTATCATGTTTTTAAAAAGTAACTAAGTAACGAATTACTTCCTTCAAGTAACTTGATCAACACCGAACGTTAGTACGCCAAAGGTATGATATATATATCTATAGATAGATAGATAGATAGATAGATAGATAGATAGATAGATAGATAGATAGATAGATAGATAGATAGATATTTCCTCAATTTTATATTCGGCTTGCTGCAAGCCAGTAGGCGTACATGTTTTCTGGGGAGCACGTGAATGCTTCTTGATCTAACAAATACAATCCATTTTATGTCATCTAAATATCTGTATGTTAAATGTCTCGACTTTTAATGTGTAGTGAATACAGTGCAGTTCAGGCCACTGAACAGACAGGGACGCTGTTAGCCTTCGAGTTGTCTAGGGTGCATTTGTTTTAGTACCTCCCCTGTACGTCACCATATTACATTCGAAATTAGTGTGCTTTTGTAGCAGAGCTAAGAGCGGGGATTGCCACGAAGAGCAGACGAGGAGTGCACGGTGGGATTCTTTTGTTTCACAAAAAAGGATTAATGCCGTTTTTGAGGACCGTACACTTCTATTTGACAGTCCAAACTGGAAACAGGGTCGAAGAAACGGAGGATTTTCTAAATTTTCTTCAAAGATTTTGTAATCGGAACGATGGGATGGCAAGTGCTGTTCTTTATCTCAGTGCTTTCTCTCGATGCAGTACAAGGGCAAGTCAGCTATTCTATTCCCGAGGAAATGAATAAGGGGGCTTCAATAGGTAATATAGCCCATGATCTAGGATTAGGAGTGGACAGACTGCAGTCCGGTAAAGCTCGTATTTATAGTGGCAACACTGAAGAGTATATAGAGCTGAAGCGAGAAAGAGGGGTGCTTCTTATTAAAGACAGAATAGACAGAGAAACGCTATGTGGTCAAACAATGCAATGCGCACTCCATTTTCAAATGATCCTGGAAAATCCAATGGAGTTTTACACGGTGACTGTTGAAATCACGGATATAAATGACAACCCCCCAACATTTGAGAGAAGTGAGATGAAATATGAAATATCCGAATCAGCTCTTACCGGAGCTCGATTCATCCTAGAAAAGGCTATCGACAATGATGTTGGTGTAAACGGTTTGGACAGCTACGCCCTAAATCCCAGCGATAATTTCGTTTTAAAAACCATCAGCCGAGGAGAGGGGACTAAACACATCGAAATGGTTTTACAGAAACCACTAGACCGAGAAACGCGTGAGCATTTCTCATTAATACTAACCGCTCTGGATGGCGGTGAACCACAGCTGTCAGGGACAATGCAGATTACCATTACCGTGTTAGACGCAAATGACAACGCGCCCGTTTGTTCAAAACCTGAATACACAGAAAGCGTTAAAGAAAATGCAGCTATTGGCACCGTAATTACAACTGTAAGTGCTACTGACATGGATAAAGGAAATAACGGAAAGATTGCATACGCGATCCCAAAGTCCGCCGCATCAAATCTGTTTGATATCGATCCTGAGAGTGGAGTATTGGCACTGAAGGGAAAAATAGATTATGAAAAACGGAGAGTTTACGAGATTGATGTGCAGGTGTCAGATCAGGCGGGACTCTCCGATGCATGTAAAGTGATAGTGGAAGTGAAAGATGAAAATGACAACCCTCCATCGATTAATATTATGTCTAAATCAAACACAGTGTCCGAGAATATGAAGCCGGGAACGGTCTTAACAATGCTAAATATACAGGATCCCGACTCAAATGAAAACGGAAAGGTAATGTGTATTTTAAATGACAACCTGCCTTTCGCCATTAAATCATCGAGCAATAATTTCTTTACTGTTGTAACAGACAGTGATTTAGACAGAGAGAGAGCATCCGAATATAACATCACTGTGACCTGCTCTGATGAGGGAGTGCCCGCCCTCTCGAGCAGCGTCACTCTCACCTTACAAATCTCAGACGTTAATGATAACGCACCTGTCTTTGAGAGGAGCTCATATGAGGGCTACATTGTGGAAAACAATACGCCAGGTTTCTCTATATTCACAGTCAAAGCCACAGACGCTGACTGGA